TAAAATAATAAATTAATAAACCCACATTCATGAAGCATTAGGAATAATATAATTTCATAAAGTCAAGAGTTCAAAGAAGGATAACAGAAATATACTGAAAATATAGAAATGTATAGACTGGGCTGCTGCAGAGTGCTGGTGACTGCTGGTGGACACTGTGGCCTTGACCACAATTTGATTTCTGAAAACCTTTTATCAGCTTTTAAGCCCCTGACGTGGGACAACAGATCCTGAGCACATGAAGCTGCCCTGGCTTGGTACGCAGAGAGGGAAGCAGCACAGGATGTGCACAAACAGTCCTTCCCAAAATCCAACTGGCTGGGAATCTCAGCAATCTGGAAAGACTCCTATGGCTGCCAGCTGGACCACAGAGAGAGAGAGGAACACAAATGAAGGATATGGCAGGGCCAGTCACATTCTGCAGGGCCAGATTTGTTCTCTTTAAGTCAACGTGCATATACATATACTTTGTCACTGATTTTATTTGGAGCAAGTGGAAGTCCCAGAATAAAAAAGAACATATTCTGAATATCCCCCCACAACACCACAGCCATTACCAACCTCCAGGAGTGCTGCCTTTCCAGTAGCATCTTGTAGTAACACAGATGCAGCATTCTGTAATGCATTTGTCACAGCATTTATTTCTTCTGTTATCTTGTTCCTCTCTTCAATCTCAGCTTGTACAGAATCCTTATGGTCTTGAGTCTTTTCATACAACCTAGGAAAGATTTCCAGCAAGAATAACCCAACTGTTGGACTCTACACTAAGTAGGAGTAATCAAAAAGCATGCTTAATACAGACATTTAAAAAATATATACCCAGAACCACATTTGTATTTTAATATTTTCTGTAAGTTAATCTCTGTGTTCCTATCCTTCATTCTTTCAGTTTCTTCAAAAAAGAGTCCTCATATATTATCAAACAAAGTATGTTTTGTAGACCACATCAAATAGCGTGTATATCTAAATAGCAAACAGCACTCAGGTTCTGAGAGTCTGAAAACACTGGCAGAGCAGAAGACAGCCACAAAGATTTCCATGTCAAAAAGCAGGCACAGAGAAGAGCAAGTACAATCACAGATTGGCCAAAAATATTTGCGTCCAATTTTAGACAGTGGTACTCACTCAGTAAGGCAAAAATTTGTTGCAAAAAGCACAAAATCTTGTTTTCATAAGAGTAGAAGACCTACACATCTCATTCAAGTTCACAAGAGCTTGAGGCCTCCAAAAACAACCTTCATCCCATCTGATTCCTCCTACATGTAAACGCAAATTGCAGCCCACACATAAAATGGCCAGGCTCAGGTCTTCTCTCTAACTACTATCTCCCAATGCCCACGCTGGAGACAGCAGATGGGTTAGATGAAGCACTGGTCTGACCCGGTAGGGCCTCCACTACCATTTTAAGTGCATTACACATTTCACATATTCTTTAATACCCAATAAAACCCTGTTCTTATAAGTAACCCTATGTCCTCTCTTCAACAGAGGTTTTACACCACTTACTTCTTACAGCGACCCTGCATTGCCCGTATCTCACACAGAGTGGGAAGAGCAGCTTCTGCCTCGGCATTGTCAGACATGCTCATGAGGCTTCTTACTCGGTGAAGAAGTAAGAGCAAGAGGAGCTGTTGCTGGTTGATGTTTTCCTCAAATGAGTTCACAAAATCCAGTAATTCTACCAGTTCGTCTCTGGTGGCCTTTTCTTTCTCTTTAAGACTTTCTGGTTGTTCTTCCTGGAGCTTGTCGAGGATTATTGTTTCTCGTTCCAGCTAAGCAAACAGCATGTCAAAGGTAAAGTGCTTTTTTATTCCACCACCTTGAGACACATTATTCATCTACTCACACGCATGACTGAGTACTAAGAATTACACAGCTAAAGAACACAAAGCTCTCAAGTGTGCCAAAACATTCGAGTTTGCTTTAACAAAGCACATAATCACACACAGAGATTTTTCTGGGCTCAGGGAATTTGTACTATAAATGTCCTCTTCATTTTTGACTCCAGATTCAAGAAAGCCCAGGGATAACTGGCTGACCAGTGGGTGGGAAATGATGTTCTGCACTGACCTCAGCCCTTTATAAGGCTTTTTACTGCGGGCCCCATCCCTACCACATTCCTCAAAACGTACAACTCACCTCTTCATTGATGAATTTCCATTCCTGTTTGAGTTCTTCACAGGTGATTTCCAGCCCTTTTGCTGCCTCAAGCAAACCCAGCCAATTTTCCCACAGCACTGTTACCATCCTGCTCAGTGCCCTGTCCCTTCTCCTGCATAATCTCATCAGTTCTCCAGAGACCTGCCTCAGCTTCACAAGGTCATCTTCAGCTGAGTCGATGTTGGAGACTAAAATCTTATAGGAAAAATAAACAAGTAAATAAATAAAATAATACAGTCAGAACTGTTAATGAAGCACTCAGTTGCATGATTAGGATCTTCTAACAAAATGGCAGTCACTCCACTGAGCTGGTTAAATAGGATTGTAATGAGAGAATGAGGAGAGAATGGATGAATAAAACAAAGAGTAACAGTGTGCCCTGGCAATCAGGTTGTTCTTACTCCTTCCTGGTTATTTGGAAGGATAGAGAAATAAGGAGTTGCAGATATATAAAATGACAAGGCTGTAATATGATGGGTACTAAGAGAAGACAGCAAAAAGGTTGATTTTAGCAGAGGTCTGGTGGGGAAGCAGCAAGAGAGTCCTGGGCAAGGAAACTGGAAATTTTCTGATTTTCACTTGAGGGAAAACAACAGCAGTGTCAAGAAACCTGATCAGTCCTGGTCCTGCAAAGAACCAACGAGGGAGCTGAACAGAAATGCAACACTATCTTAGGCACAGATAACAGATCTGATTTCTACAGCAGTAAGTTGTCCTCATTATATGTAGCCTATTATAATCCAGTCTTTTTATAGGTATGTAAATACAATCTGTGGGTTTATATATATATATAAACACAAGGTAAAGAATTTAACTTCTTTCTACTGTGATACCATATGGTCTACACAGCTGCATCACAGTTCTGCATGAGCTTTTCAAGTTTTTCAGAGCCTCTCTTACTTTGCTTTCTTCTAAGTGCTCCAAAGCTTCTTTATAAGACGTTGGTATTTGAGTCAAACACTGTCCAAGCATCTTTTCCAGTTTGTTAAGATTATCACACACCTTAGCTTTGGTTTTTGTGTAGCTTTCATATTTTTCAAAATACCTGTAGGAAAATTACAACCAATTAAAATTTGCTCTGGTTGCTTCTCTCTCCACCCATAATGTCCACTAGAATAAAAAACAAAACCAAAAACCTCTTCTGAACTAGCAGTCATTATTGTTTTGCAGGTTATCTTCAATTATGATTTGTTACACACTTTGGGTCTGATATATGAGATACTTTAGAGATACAGAAACAAACGTCCCAGAGGTAAAGAAATACAGGTATAAATATGCAGGTATCAGGCTCAGAGCTGCTCAAAAGAATTATATGTCTTGATCTAGGTGTCCATCCTCCTCAGACATTCCTGAAAATTAGTTCCCAGTTTGTAACACACATTCTATTCATCCCTACAATGTGTGGCCTGTACAATTCCAATTTCCTGTTTCTAAATATCATCTTCATTTTTCTAGATGTCTTTAAAGTCATCCAATTTGATTATAAAAGCATATTTTAAGGCTATGCTCAATAGAACCAGAAGCACTGGATCATGAGCAAGCAATTTAAAAACCCTTCAGCTCCCAAACTTTTTCATTACATGTATCTGAAGGCCCTTCAGATGTCTTCTGTACCTATATTTGAAGGAAGGAAACTGGCCTGTGTCTTGTTTGGTCTTTGCTTTCTCCAGTCATCAGAATAGCCTATGGAAGACATGCATTAGGGCCTCTCTGAGAACTATTCTAACCTGCACCAGCACTGAACTAGAAACAGTGGAAATGTGCTTTCTTCTGTTTCTGGCACCTTATGATCCTCAGCTGAGCCACATACATACTTTTTGGAATATACTAAAAAAATATTGCATTGTAAATTAGTAGCAATATTGTTATTGTCTGGTAGTTTTCCTTCCATTACAATCACATCTGGGAACAACAGTAATGCACATCATTCTTTCTGCTGAATTGCCTGGTTCTATCAAAGCAGAAATAATACTGCATTTATCATCAGCCTAATTACTCATAATAAGCAACATGATCTAGGAAGATCTCTTAAGACTTACCTTTTTTTATCAGCTTCCTTTCTTTGAGCCTCCTCCCTTAAAGCCAAACTCTTATTCACTAGTTCTGTTAAAGTATTTTCCAGACATATTTTGTCTTCTGGTTCCACTAGGTTTTTCAGCTTGGAGTGCAGGTCTTCCATGTTGGCCTTTGCAGAGTTGAACTCTTCTTGTTTCCATTGTGGGGTTTGACAGACCTCTTCTGAGATACTGAGCTCTGCTGCAGCAGAGTGAATTCCAGCTTGGCAGTCCTCAAGCAACCTGGCAGCCCTCTGAACAGCCTCGGTATAAAGCTCACCTGTCTTACATGCCTCCTCCAGAGCACTCTGAAAGTATTCAAAAGACAACAGAACAATGAGGAAAGACTGCTGTGCTCCTCTGGATCACCAGATGGTGTCCTCAGAATTTCACACTGGGCTGTCTTTGAGACCAATGCTCCCAGAAGTGGTCTGAGGAGGTGAGGAAGGACACGTGGCAAATGCACTCTGTTATGTAGGTAGTCTCAGAGCAGTGCCATAACCTATGGATTGATTGCCCTCAACCACAGGAAGAGGCATTATGAGAGGACTGCCAATACTGGAAAAGTCCTGAGAGAAGTGTGGCAAGACACAAGAGCCCTAAGATCCCTTCTGGACATGGCAGCACATGTCCTGTCCAGACAAGGCAAGCCCACCCACTGATGCTTTATTCTGTTCCAGGGGATATCTCCGCTATGACTTGCCACACTGCTTCTTGCTAAACCCTCTTCTTGTATGGATTTATACACAGAATGATGGGTGACTTTGCCAGCTCTTGGATTCCCACGGGGCAGAGCAACTTCAGCACTGTGCTTCCCACATGATATCCAAGCAGTGAAGATGAAGCACAGCAAACCAGGAAATCTGGCAACAGGACCAAAAGTCCATCAGGGACACTGACTCCCTCCCTGCTATTAGCCACTACCTCATATTTCCTTGCTTGTATCCACTATGTCTTGGGCAGTCAGGGCACAGGTCTTCCTGACCAGGGGACAGTTCCAGAACCTTTCTGCTACTGAAGGTTACCAGTCTTCTGAAGTTTTCAACATTAATTTATTCACAACTCTTTCTTCTTGTATTATCACTGCCCTTTAGCTTAAGCAGTCCTTTTCCATCCATTAAGTTTACCTCCAGCCTCATTACATTTCTCAGCTTACCAGGTTGAGCAAATTCAGTTTTATTAACTGTCCTCAACGCCCCTCATGCCTCTAACAGCACTTGTTCCAGTTTGACTGGGCCTTTCCTGGCAAAGGCATCAAGAATTGAGCTGATGCTCCTGCAATGCCTTATCGATGTCTTACAAACTTTTGTTAAAGCTTGGATCCCAGCTGCTTTTCTTTTGCTCAGTCTTCTTGAGGCCTGATCACACTGATTTGACCTGTGCTTTATTCTCCTTGATCATTCTCAACTGGCAAGCTTTTTCTTTATAATAGAAACAAAGAACTTCTCTTTTTTCCCATCACTGTCGCTATTGAAAATGTTAGATAAAATCAGTCCCAAGAATAATCCTAGGACAATTGCAACCAGCCTCTCTTCAGTTCAGCATTTCAACACAATCTTTTCCTTCCTCCCCTTTTCTTTTCTTGTGGTAATCCCCACTGCTTGATGAGAATCAAAGTGACCGCAACTAATTGCTTTCTATCTCTAGTTTCTTATCATGATTCCCATCATATCCACCAACACAGAGATGGAAGATGGGCCAGTTCAGTTATTAGGAAGATATAAGTGATGAAAATATAAATCCTACAGTCACAGAGACCTAGTCTAGTAATTGGAAACAGACATATGGCCATACCTTACTTGTACTGGAAATACTTACAACACGGGCAGCAATGTCTGTCTTCAGTTGAATTTCATGATCTCTCAGTGTCTCTAGCTTTGTTTCCATACCAGCAGGAAGAGATTTTTCTTCTTGGTTTTCCCTCTCTTTTTCCAATATACATTTAAGGGCAGAAAATTTTGCTTGCATCATATTCTGAATTGCTTCCCATCTCATCTTTTCATACTTCATCATTTTTATGTCTATGAGAAGTGGCTGCTGAAGCTCTAACTGAATATGCTTTATGGTGTGGAATATATGTTCTGCTTCATTCTGGATGCTTTCCTTGTTTATACACTGGAGACCAGAAACCAAGTCTTGAAGAAACTGATTCAATTCCTCAACATCTTTCTCCAGGCTCTTTATTTCTTTCCTCTTAGATTCTTTGAATGGCATATCAAAGACCTCATTTTTGTTTATTTCATTTGCTACCTCCTGGGTTAACTGAAAGATTTGTTGAACTGTCTGAAACAGAATCTGTGCAGCTATGAGATTCTTAGCAGGAGAAGAGCTAGAGCTGTCATTTAGGATGTTAGCTTCTTTTCTTAGAGCTGATGTCACAGTCTGGATTTCATTCAGCAATGCTTGAACCTTATCACATTCCCTAACAACATTATCAAAGTGTGTTATTTTCCATTTAATTTTATTTTTAATTTTTAAAAATTTTGTTTGCAATTCATCCAGCTGCAGCGAGTCCCATTTTAGACCTGCGCATTCAAAGATTTCTTTGTACTTCATCATTTGTGACAAATTGGATTGAAAAGCTAATACTTTTCCTTTAAGTGATTTGCATATATCATTCACTTCCTGCTTGGCACCTAATAATCCATCTTGCTCCAGGTTTATTTCACCACAGTGTAGATCATTAAGGTCTTGCTGCAATGAAGTTATACCCTCAGCAAACTCTTTGTAGACAGTTATCTTTTTTTCTACCTCATCAAGTTTACTCTGAATTTGCCTCTGTGTCCTCCTTGCTCTATTCTTTAGACTTCTTAACTGATCAATCAAAAACAGTTGCTCAGACAGGCTCAGTTCCCCAGCTGTGACCTGACTCTCTTTACAGTAGGATGAGATAAGCCCTTCTATTTCTTGTATGTCCTTTAAAATCTCCTTTAAAATGGCTTGTTGGTGGATCATTTCTGACCATGTGCTGCTTTGGTTCATGTCAGGCCTGGCAAGCATCTCAGCCTTTCGAAGCTGACAATGAACTTTTTCCATTTCTGCAACAAGTCTTTGCCTCTCCCCCAGGTGGAGCTCTAGTTGCTGTAATCTTTGAGCTGACTTTAAAACAAGAACCTTGTATGAATTCTGCAAGGCTTGCAAAAGAAAGGTAATATCAGAGATTTCCTCTGGCTTCAGGCTGAGAACAATATGCTGGAGCCCCTGCTCCAGTGAGACAATCACAGGCTCTCTGTTTAGAACTTCTGTGTTCATAAGCTGACAACTTCTGATCTGTGATTCAACATCACTGGGAAAAAGTGCAGCTTTCTGATCGAGAGAGGACAGTGAATCTTTGACCCATGAAATATTTTCTTTCAGCCTCTTCATCATTTCATGTTTCATGAAAGCAGGACCAATTATCTGAACATCCTCTTGAGGAGTTTGTTGTGCTGATAATGCTTCCAATTTGCTCTGCAAATCAAGAATAGAGGTCTCCAAAGCTACCTTCTCTTGATCACTCCAAATTCTTTTCATCTGCAGTTCAATCCTTCTTTTTAATAAAGAAAAACCATGTTTAATATCCTGTAGCTCTGTGGTCCAAAGTACAGGGTATTTGGCTTTTCCTGCAGCTGAGGAATATGACTCTGCTTGTAAATGCTGTTCTTGTATCAGTCTCTGGATATCCTGTGCTTTATTCATAAGCAGGTTAAATTCATCGATTTCTGCCACAACTTGATCATGTTTCTTTTGCACTGTTTGTTCCATGTGTTGCCACCATTGCTCCAGCTGCCTCACTTGGCTTTCAGTTAACACTTTATCCATGCATGTTAAATGCTGAGATAAAGCTTCTTGCTGAGCTTTCAACTGGTTTAAGACATCTCTTTCTTTTCGTAAGGACTCTATGCATGCCTTAATTTTCTCCAGAAGAACCGTGTTGTTGATGGGGCCCCTAACAAAAATATGAGTAGTGTTAAAAAAAATTTCTCCTAGAACATGGACTAGACACATTCTAAAAAGAGAACTTCACTGTTTAGAAAATTAGCCACTCACTTTATTCACTTAATCATGTGTATCTGTCAGTGGTCTCACAAATTTCCTAATCACTGTTGCAGTATTTCTTGCTTATATGTTATTTCTAAACAGATCCACAAGAAAGGTACATTCTAATACACAGTCTCTAAAATTGCAGTATATACTAATATAGAATGTGTCACTTCCTAAAGGAATGTAGCCTCCCTTCAAAGATATAATAAATTTTTTAAAATCAAAAATAGTGTTAAGTCGTCTGTAAGTGAATTAACATTTCATGGTACTTTCTGATTTGCAATGAAGATAAAACTTAGTTATAAGAAAAACTTAAAAAATCCCCATTCATTCAAGATTGTTTTATCTTGAATTAGAAGGCATTTATCTCCTCAAGTTTTATTTCCAGGAGTGTTTTGAAATTCCCACCTAAATTACATTTAGCAGATAGATTTTTATTCCATTTTTTTCAATCTCTTTGCTGTAACCTAACAATTTTAGCAGCTATTTTTATGATATTCAAATTATTGTGATACATTAGTGTGACTGATAGGCTAGTTCCATGTTTTGAAGGCCAGTTCATGAAAGGTAGTAAATATTTTGTGTGCATTGATTACCTCTGAATTGGTACTGTAGACTTATTTCTTGCCACAAATTTCTTCTTATCAAATAAGGGTAATTATCACAGTAACAAGACATTTGACTCAGAAAAAAATTAGAACTGATGAGCCTTTCAAGAAAAATTAAAATTTCACATCTGCTATATATTTGAAAAAATATTTTAATATGGTTTTTATATAGGTTTTTTAGCACAATAATAATTTCTTTGTTTTGCCTAAAAAATAAAGTAGAAGTTGCTAAAGGATAGCAGAGAACCACCAGAAATGCTTCTGTTTAAGTCTATTCAAACTTACAAACCTCTGAGACTTCTCTTGCTACATAATGTTAATGAGATGGATAAAATAGTATATTCTTGTCTAAGGATTATTGAAGTATGGCACAAAATTCAGTCTAGGACCATATTTGTTTGGCAACCTGTTAACAGAAACCCTCGGTTATACTTACATTTTTATATTATCTTTTTCTGTTGACAAATTTTTCATTGAGGACTGCACAGCAGAAAGATTTTTCTGGTACTCATTAATTAAACAGCACTGTTGTTGCTTCACTGCCTTAAGAGCCTCTATTTCCTGAAGCAGTCTGTCCCAGCAGGGCACTGCAGGCTCAGATGTTTGCAGCTCTGCTCTGTTTGATCCTGTTGCATTGGGAAATGCTTCTTGACTAGGACATGGAGATTTTGCTTTCCATGTTTCCAAATCAGTTTGTAAATTCTACAATCAAGCCCATCACAGAGTGGGGATTAAAAGAGACCTTCAACACTTTTGATTTTCAACACAAACTACAATTAAATACTGATAAATCTACCAACATAAGCTTGTTCATTTGCATGCAAAAGAGCACATGTGCTTGTGCCATCGTGGAAGCACACGTGCAATCATAGGTGTATCTACTACCACACCAAAGAGGAGGAGTACAGACCATGGTGTTTACATGGACGTACCTGCATTAAGGCACAGTGTTTGTACATTACCTGGTAGACAAACTCATTAATCATGCAGTCAAACTGCAGATAAGACCGTATGCAACAATTTTGGTTTTCCCAAATGAATCATAATGCTGCAAGGGTAACAGTACATTAACAACGAGGAATGCCTTTACAATTTCCATACCTCCAGCTCTTTTAGTTGCTCATTTATAAGCACAATATCCAGCTCAGCCACTTCGTTTATCAGCTCGTTGACCTTTTGTTCCTCTTCAAAATATTTACTGTTTTCTTGCACTCCAGGAAATAGTTCATCCTGGACCACCACTTCTGCACCTGTGTCCTACAACACAGAACAGGATTCTGATTTCTGAAGGTCCTAAACCATCAAGTTTTCTGACTACAACACTTCCCTTCACATGCCTAAATCCTGCTCTGGCTTCCCCTGGCTTGCCAGCTCTGCTCAGATGGCTATGAAATAACAATTATTGTTTGATAAACTTACTGTATTGCTCCTTTAGATACCATTTTAAGCTTGAAACTGTGATACCCCCACCTTCAAATAACATCCTCTCTGCACCCACCTCTGCTTACTGACAAATTCAAAGGTCTATCCTGCCTTCTCCCCCTCCTCCTTACACATTCATGGACCTCTAACCTTTCCTCACACCCACATTCCTTCTGCTAACCACCTGCCTTGATATACTGCTGTGTCCAGGACCATCTCTTCACAGGGTGATTCATGCATGAAGCAGCTTATTTGTGACACAAAGCCACAGCTGCTACTGCCACCAGTGCTATCCAAAATCAGGGGTAAGGTAAGAACATTAAGGAGCCATCTCTCAATTGGGATGGGGAGGAAGGGAATGGGGAGCTCCAGAGCCAGTCCCTGGCATGGCCATCAATTGCCACAATGAAAGAAGGACAAGTCACTTGGGATGTGGCCACATTTAACAGCCCATCAGTTGAGCTGAGGTCATTGCTCAAGTCAACAGTCTTAGAGAGTCCCAGTTCAGATGTAAAACATAATTCTCTATATTACCTTCAGCTGTTGTAGACAACAACATAAATGAAATGTCACAGGCTTATTGTGGCACATGGCGATACCTTAAAAAACCTTTTTGCATTTCACTTCCCCTAGTACCTATCTGTAATTTGGTGTAAACTGTGATCACACACCTCACGTGACTGAACACATAACCAATACACAGTTTGAGCTCTACAGTGTGAGCTTTTCCATGGTACCAGCATATAAAATGAGCAATGATAAAAAATTATTGTTTGATAAACTTACTGTATTGCTCCTTTAGATACTATTTTCCTATGAAGCAGTCAGCTATCCTGCAGATATATCACTTGTAAGCTGTCATTGTCATCTGTCTCTCTGTGGGTTATCCAAAATATACCTGCTTCCAAGCATGGGAAACATGTAGCACATTGTGGACATGATTGGAAAAGAATAATTCTATTTATTTGAACTCTTTTGGTTATTTTCAGTCAAAACTGAAAGGGACCACTCATGAAATAGTCCATCAGAGAACTTTTCCATTTCTCTGTGTACACACCAATAATGGTTGTATCAGTTCAGACTTTGAAGTGCCATAGAACTGAAGTAAGCAGAAAAACTCAGCCAAGCTATCACAGAGTCAGAAGGAAGTCCACTTTACTAGACTGAAGTATAAATGCATCAAAACACACAGAAGAGCAAGTGTCCTGACACTAAGAAAAACCTCATCATTGTTGAGTACACGTTTTCCTTGTTTGCATGATGTTCTCAACGTACACCATGGCACTGCCTCCCTGGATA